ACGGCCAGCTCATACTCATGCATTCGCGTCTTTAGTTGTCGGCTGGCTTCTCCAACATTATTGCATGTCCTGCAGCTGCACTGAAGTCTATAGATGACGCCTGAATTTTCCTTTTTAGGTATAGGGTCTTTCGGCCGCATTACTTGTTGTCGGATGGAGCAGGTAGGCTTGTGAGCAACCCCTATTCCAAGAGGCGCGAGAGATCTAGCCACAACTTCGGATACCCCCTTGATGTACGGGATGCTCCGCCATGTTTTTGATAGGCAAGGTTCCTCGTTCCGCGGTTTGGGTGGCATTCGAGCTCGTTCAACAAACGCTCGTGGATAGCCGTTTGCTCTGAAAAGTTCCCGGAGAAGCTTTGTCTCGTCCCGTTTGACAGCTGGTGTGCTACAGTGGGTTTCTACCCGTCGGTATAGCATGCGTGGGAATATGACCTTACGTGCGTCCTAAACTTCATCTGGGCGGATTTGTAAGACACCCGGGCGAACGTTCATCTCCGGTAGGTAAGGGAGACTGTCACTAATGACAGTTCCGCTATTGATTTCCGTTATGTCCACCATATGCCCAAGAGCGCGGATAGTGACTGGAAACAGAGACTAGATTTAAGTAAAATAGATGCGCAAATGTCTACCTCACTCTAAATCCTTACGCGCTTGAACCAGTGACAAGACAAAATCAATACATCCGGGCATAGGCCGCTTTCTCCAATGCAAGCCAAAACACCGCCCAATCTAGTGTTAAGTGGCAGGAGACTGAAAGTTACGATTAAAAAAAACATTCCCGATTTACCCTACATGTCTGATGGGGTGGGAATCTTTTGTCGTCTTAACAACCGAGTAAATAACACAAACAATTTAGGTGAGGCTTTACCGGCTTCGACCTTTGGGGGGCTGCAACTCTTCAAAGTGCAAATTTACATGATGGGCACGTCAACATTGTGCTTGATGACGCGAAAAAGACCTGGGAAACCTCAGCCCTTACGAAGCAAATTTGGTTGCATTGATCTTTCTTCCGGCGTCTCCTGTAACCTAGCTGCGCTGACTGACAGATAATCGCACGTACGTATTTATTCATCTCACATCACGCGACTCTGTATGATGTTCTAATCGTGGCTGGGTAGAGTCTGAAACTAGGAGGCCCTGTGATTTGCTTCGGCCTATCACAGACACCGAAACTAACCAATAAACTTCAAGGTTGACGAAGAAGTACCCTAACGGAATACTCGGACGCGAACAGTTCTACGCTTTCGTCTCACCGCCACATCGCCTCATTTTACTCTTTCTTTATATTGAGCCGGGTACATTTTGCCATTGACTGTCGTCTATCTTCATTTCTTTCTGCCCTGGGATTGGTTTCAGCCTCGTAGTGGTTGGGATCTGCCTACCTAATTGCCGCGATTGGGTTCGTACGTGGTTTCGAGAGAGTAGCCAGTAAAGGCGGTTGGCCGTTTGTCTATCCCCTAGGAGCTGTTGAATGATAAAGCCAGATGACTGCCGTAGCGAGTAACCGATGAGACGTTTTTCCTGTTGGAGCACACGATTGCTAAAATTCTGACCTGTGGCGTGGGTGTTTATCGAGGAGTTGATAAAGGGAGACAGACCGTGAATGGAAAGACCAGTGAGGCGGTCAAAAAGAAAGGAATGGCGACAGTCAAACAAAAGGTCAAATTCGGCATGAAGGTCGGAAGCATGGATGACGCGGGGAACATCGGCGATAATAAAAATTCAGGAAAAGAACCTTCGAAGTCCATTGTCTAGGTTGAGGGACCGGCTACCAAAAGTTGGGATGGGGGAGCAGTTTGAAGCCTGAAGGTGAAAACCAGGACTGGGAGATTGACGGTCAGTTGAACTTGGAGGGACAACTGATAGCTGAGGTCCGGTTTCCACAAAAAAAACGTCTGCGACTGACGCAATCACAGACATAAAAAGTGCGATTAGAGCTGGAGACGCCAGGCAGATTGACGGCGTTCACCTTCGCGTGGACTGGCTTAACCCGTTTGCTCGGCTTGGAGACGAAGGAGCAGGGAGAGATGTAATGACGTGCTCTGGCACCAAAGGTTGAGTGATACTAGCAGGTTCTAGCTGAGTTGGGACGATCCGAAAAAACTGGCTGGAAATGCCGGGCAGATGAGCTTGGTGGACGCCTGTTTGGAAAGGTTGATTGCTGTTGAAGAGTAGCTAGCTGTCAGGTTAGTTGCGCAATCACAGACTTCAGGTGTGA